CAGGACGCATTAATTAACAGATACAGATCTACGTTCTCATGGCCGGATCGATAGAGAGAAGAAAAGAGCCATCAATGTGAATTTACTGCTGATGATGGAAAAGGTTCTCTATTGACATTTACGCGAGGGCAAACTTTAAAGATGCATTTTTCCCCCTTCTTTTCATCTGTTATTTCATTTCACAAAAGAGCTTGGTGGCGACCGTGATTACAGTTCACCTTTGGATGCTTTGCTGCGTGAGAAAGGATCCAAAGAGCCGAATTAAAGCGTGTCACTGTCATTTCAGCTGTGGCAAATGTCTACAACCCTTTTCCCAAAGGACTTCCTGTAACGAGAGGAAGTTTATTGACTCAGTATAGACATGACACTAAACAAGGCACATTCATCTGTATGTGTGTATACGTATATAGAGTTAAAAAAGCATTTAATAACCACAGGACATTTTCATATATACATATATTTCACACCCATTGTATTCTATTCTATTGTGTTCCATTCTATATTATTCTATTCAATGTGTAATAAATTACAGCCTGCACGATTCTATCCACATATTTATTCATATACTGATGTATTTTATACTATTCTATTCATTAGTGTATACATACACACACACAAACACACACACACATACATGTATATATATATATATATTTTTTTTTTCAGATATATACATACATATATACACACACACACACACACACACACACACTATTAATTCATTTTACTTATTATTTTTATTTCTAAATTAGACTGCAACAATATAATAATATATTAAATGTGAATGTAAATTAAAATAATCAATAATTATATCCTGATATATTTCAAAATCACTTTTTAAACAGCTTTTTTAATGTAAATGCATTATCTTATTTTATTTATTTGTTTGCATTTATTTATTTACATGGCATTTATTTATTTGCAAGCCATGTAACTCTGGATAAGAGACTCTTTTATTTGACAGACACAAAGCAGACTGCCCCATCCTGATGACACATGAGCATTATCTGATCCAGCGTTCAATCACCAGTAACGTCCTCTCAATTTAACTCTCTTAGCCCGGAGACCAGCTTCAGATCTCAGACTCCCTCTCTCTCCAGCAGCACTGAAAGGTCTTTGCCACTGGCACAATCTCTCTTATTCTCTCTATCTCTCTCTTTTCTCTCAGTAAACTGATGTACTTTGTGCTAGACGGGGAGGAAAGGCTAAGTATGTGGATCTGTGAAGGTTACACCAGTAGAAGGTATCTGATGGCGGAGGCCTTGTGAAACCTGCAATGGCTTTTCAGAAGAAATAAGAATTGGAGCAGCA